TAGTTATGTTGGTTCACCTTTATCAACAACGTTTAGGTTTCTTCAAGTCTGTTTGGAATATGGTGGATTTCTTTATGATTATTTTCTCTGTAGCCTCTGTAGCATTTTACATGATCAGAGCTAAAAGCGTTTTAAACACTATCAAATCTATTCAAGCCAATCCATATGAAATCGTGCATTTCCACAGAGCCTTGAATTGGCTTAACCTGGAAAATGCGTCCATTGCTGTTGCTGTTTTCTTGGTGACAGTCAAGCTTCTGAATCTGATTCGTTTTAACCCACACGTAATATATTTGTTTTCATCTTTTCGCCAATCTATAGGCTATCAACTCTCGTATGTGCTCTTTTTTCTGATCGTGTTTAATGCATTTGTTATAACAGGTATGCAGTTTTTCGGTGGTGTAGTATTAGAATATTCCAGTTATCTCGATGCAGTCATGTCTCAATTTGAATTCCTGTTAGGAAAAGCAGTCCCAATGGACGCTCTTCGAAGGGACAGACCCTTCATTGGTCCGACGTTTGCATTTTTGTTTTGTATATCCACAAATATATTTCTTATGAATATGCTTGTTTCTGTCCTCAACGAATCATATAGTGACGCAAAATCAAACGCAGAGGAAAATGCAAAAGAGCTTGAAATGGCACGTTTTATTGAGGAGCGTGTAATGGACATTTTCCACGAGGGAAGTAATCGGACTGAGTTTAAGTTGTTTTGTGATGAGACAATATTTGTCAACATGTGCCTTTCTGAAGCAGAGCCATTTTGTTTGAATTCTGAAAGTATTATCCAATGTACAGAGGAACGAATGTTAAAAGCTGAAAAACGACTAATTTTTCTCACTCGACGAACAGAGTACATGGAGGCTGATTATTTGAAAGAGGAGAATGACTTAATTTACCTTTTATTAGTAATGATAAATCCTTCGGTGCGTGATTCGGAAAGGAAATCAAAATATGATCTCTGAGTGCAGAGATGTTTTACTGTATAATTTAGCTAAGTTTTCTTCCACTGAAATTATTTCTGGCTTTTCTACCAAGCGTAGATATTATTGAATGTTTATTTTTAGATAAGTGTATCTTATAAGTAAGGCGTAATGGAACATTTTTAGCACAAAAGATAGAAAATGCAATAAAAGAAGTTTTGTCATGGTCGGAAGTCATTGTAAATTAAATGTTCAGCTAAGTGTTTGCATGATAAAAGATCTACAATAACATTATGCGCATAAAGTGTCAAAATACTTACAGTGACAAAACATGTGACTGTAAGGAAAATGTGTTTTTTAACAGACAGTTTTGTTCTGATTGAGTACTGACTACTGGCCTAAGGTTTCTGATATATGACTTTGATGTGTCAGGCAGGCAGTCAAGATTACTCCTGCATTTCGTTAAGATGGTAAAATGGTCTTTGAGGTTCATTGGCTCCATACTGTGTTGAAACAGATGCCGGCGAGGGTAGCATATATACTGCCTGATATATGAGATGATACAGCTACCAAGTTTTTGCAATGTAAACTGAGCCTCCCTGCTCCAAAGACAAGCTGTTGACACTAAAATACCCTCCAGCCATGGAGTGTTAGTCCAGTAACTGAGGTGTGACAGGGTACAAACCTGAATACCAATCCTGCAATGTAGGCTATCAACAACATTGAATGACACAAGCACTTTCAGAGAAAAATGCCGGTTGGCCAAGGGGTTACAAGAACCTACCATCTCTACCCTGCTTTTATCACAGAGTAATTTGCAACTCACCCACGCGTATCAACGGTTTTTTTTTTGTTTGTTTGTTTGTTTTTTTTTGCTGGAAATATCGACCAAGACACCATTGTGTATCATAACCTTTCCTCACCAATCAGGGCAAGATACATCCGTTTCCGACTCTCAAGTTGGATTGGTGGAGTATCTATGCGAGTAGAGTTGTATGGCTGTGTAGGTGAAGTTAAATTTTGAATTGCTGAGAAGAATTCTTGGGTTGTTCAACAAATGATTTGCAATTCGCATATCTTTTATCCTTTATGTGAAAGATATCGTCCACTATTATTTCATTTTGTCTTCTTGAATATCTGAGCCTCTCAAAACGGTTATAGCATTTTCCATTTTACGCTTGTGGTCTTGTTGGCATTAAATTATAATATTTCCTGTAATTCACAAGACTCTGACCAAAAATCTCCATTTCGCTTACAAGAGTCCTTGCTTAGCCCTACAACAATTTCAAATTCTTGCTCAGATAGTTATATTTTCCTCCTTGACGTTAACATCCTCTGCCGAAAGTAATGCAATTCACTCTAATTTTGTTTTTCGTCTCCTGTTTCAACTTTCCTATAGTAAGGAGGATAGGTGTGGATATAATCTCAATTATAACTTTTTATTTATTTATTTTTTGAAATATAAAGAATGTCAAGGCCCCCTTGGTATGGAAACGGTGCCATTTCTGACGGACAAATTAGTGCCTCTTCAGAACTGAGTGCAGACCATGAGTCGACTAAGAGCAGACTAATATCAAGCGAGGGAACTTGGTTGCCTCTGAAGGACGATGGCGACGGGTGACTCCAGATCGATTTGCGAAATAACGATATCGTCGTGAAACGAGTTGCCAGACAAAGAATGAATGCTTTGCCTAAGTGGGTTACCAGCTACAATTTACAGTGCGGCTATAAAAAAGTTACCTGCAATATTACATGGAACAAGTGACAATAAAAAGGTCCATGACAATATTAGCAGGGCTGCCTTTCCGTAGAGGAAACTAGCATTCAAAAAGAAATCTTTTTTTTTTGTTGTATATTGTTCCAAGTTTATTATTTTTGTGAAATGTGTCGAAAATATGAAAAAAAAAAAAACCTAGTGGAGGAAAATCAGAGTTCTGGTCTATGGTCTTCTACTCTTCCACCCTGGAAGTTGAAGTGTTTCATAACATTAGATTCTCATCATATTTTTTGTTACATTTGAAAGCATACGAATATGTTAATCATTACAATATGATGAAATCCCCCATTTTAACCCTTTAATTCCCATGAGCGACCAAGACAGAATTATTCCTTACAATATCAAAACAATATCAAACAGAAAAGTTATGAGAATAAAGAAAAATATCAGTTAGGGGATTATAATTAAGATGATTCATTTACTAAATCCTCGAAACTAACATCACAAGAACTGTATGTTTCCTATAAGTTTAAAATGTACTTCACTTGTGCTATATATACGGATTTGTCGTTCTTAATTACTAAATGAAATTCCGAGGGTGTGACTCAATTACTTCAAAAGAGAATATCCAAGCAGGTTAAAGAAATGGTTGGCGAATTGTAAAATGTTAATGTGTTGACAAAATTTCCCTAAATTATGGTGCCGATACGAATCTATCATTCATATTCCCTTATGAAATTCCGAGACTGAACCTCAGTGAATTTAATAGAAAATACCCAGGAACGTTACAGAAATAGACTCTCAAAAACTGCCCTTGAATTCCAAAACTGTAAACAACAATTATTTACGTTAACCATGAGCTTACTGTAGTGTGACCTTCAAGAATGTTCTAGAAGTATAACTGTGTCATGTTGAGTCATCCTCGAATCAACATATAAATAGAATCTCCTATAATGTTACGGAACTTTCTAGATCCTCAACCGTACCTATAAGAGCCGAGTTTATAACTAGATGTAGCGAGTAGTTTAGTTGCTGGTATAGCCCGACAGATATCAATAAAGGTGTATGCTGCAGAATACAAGACGTCCACACTTCACTTACCAGCGCACTTGTGAGGTTAAATTGCTAGAACCCCGTTTAATTGCAAAATGTGATGACTACCAATTTCAGAGATTAATTCTTCAGTTTCCAGCATAAGAAAAAAAATATCGTATCGCAAGCATGTTCATCATAACGCCTCGAGATGTTGAGCGGAGAGAAAGTAGCTCCATGTTTTGTGAGACAAACCATTTCTTGAAGTTCGGACGAATCGAGTAGAGAGCATGAAAATATAGCGCTGAAAAGTAAGACAACCAAACAATTAAAATCCCATTTTACCCGTGAGTGTTTTTGCACCTCACATTTGCGGTCCGTAATTTGATTCTTGGATGTTTGACGGGTTCTAAAATGACAATATCGTCAGACTCAAGTTACCGCGTCAGACTTAATGTAAACATGAACATCGCTGACTTAATCTCATTTTATTTCAATTTTGGGAAAGGCCATTACTTCGTTCTTGGGGTAAAACAACACATCTTCGGCAAAGCGCGA